ACCCCCCCCACCCCCCCGGAACCCCAGAGCATCCCCACAGGGGTTTGAGGCAGAGCCTCGCAGGACAGGGGGGGTGCAAAAAGGGGTCCCGGCCCCCCCCAGTGCGGGGGTCCGGGGCTGGTCCCCGGCTCTCAGGGATGCTGCCGGCTCCAGGCTCTGGGGTGGGGGGGTCCCCGTGGGACGGGGTACAGCTGGCTTGTGCCCTTTCCCCCTGTCCGTCTGTCCCCCCCCAACCCCGTGCTGTGTGTCCCCAATGTACTCCCAGCACAATAAAGCTGTATGGGGACAGGTGACTCGTGCACTGGGGACACTGGGGTGGGGGGACGGGGGTGTGCTGGGGGGGGCACCCACACCCAAACCGCTGCTGTGGTGGGGTGCAAGTGGGGGGGGGAAGCGTGTTGCATCCGTGTGTGCTTGAGTGAGCATGCGTGGGCATATGTGTGCATGAGTGAGCGTGCATATGCATGAGTGTGCACGCATATACGTGTGTGCATGAGTGAACATGTGCACATGTGTGCATGACTGTGCGTGCATGCACATACGTGTGCATGAGTGAGTGTGCAGGTGTGTGCATGAGCATGTGCAGGACTGTGTGCATGTGTGTGAGTGAGCACGTGTAGGCGTGAGTGAGCCTGTGCACGTGTGTGCATGACTGCATGCACGCACATGTGTTTGCATGAATGAGAATGCGCATGAGTGAGTATGCGCATGAGTGAGTATGCATGGGCATGTGTGTGCATGAGTGAGGGTGCGTGTACATGTGTGGGCATATGCACACACGTACAGGCACGCATGCAGAGGATGTCCATAGATGTGAGCACACGTGTACAAGTGTGCATGTGTGCCATATGAGACACGGTCTCTGATGGGGACCCCACTCCCCTGCCATGCCCCCCAGCAGAGCCGCTTCCTGGCTTTCCGCCCTGCAGGCCCCCCCATGCCCTTGGCAGTGGGAAACAGGGCTCTCGGCTCTCCCCCAAACTGGACCACCCCCCTCCTCCCCCCCTCCACTGCCCCAGGGATGCCCTGCCCTGGGCTGACCCTGCCTAGCAGAGGGGGGGGGTCGCAGCCGGGACCCCCACCACCATGGGGAAGGTGCATTGCAGCTCTGCTCCGTGCCTCAGTTTCCCAAACCAGGCTGCCCGGTGAGACAGGCCACCGGGGTCGAAGGGAACGGTGTCACCTTCTCCGTGAGCCAAACCCGGGGTCCCCGAGACCCGGCTGTGGGGGGACACCACCAGAGCGGGGGGGGGGGGGGGGACCGGGGGCCCCAGGTAGCCGAGCCTGGGCCACGGTGCCAAGAGCATCGTGGCGCTGGGGACAACAGCCAGGCCAGCCCCACCGTCCCCGTCCCCTCCATCCGCCGGGTGTCCCAGCTCCGGGACCCCCGTGCCCTGCCCTGCCCGGGGTACAGGATCCGGCCGGCCAGGCGGTTTATTGCTGTTGGCAAAGCGTTTTCCTGTTTTCATCGCAGAAACAGCCCGAGGCTGCTTATTAACACGGGCCAACACGGCCCCGGCTCTGGTTTGTAGCTGCTATGGCTGGAAAGGCAACACGGGGTGGGGGGGTGGGCTCTGAGCAGGGAGCAGTGGGGGGAGCAGAGACCTGACAGCTCGTTACACAGATGGGGCACAAGCTGACGGGCCCCCAAGCAATGGCTGGGCAGGCCTGGGTTCATCCTGCTGGGTCTCTGGGGGGGGCCAGGACAAAGCCCTGAAACCCCCCAGTGAGGGTCTGCTGGGGGGGGACGTGGGCACCCTGCAAACGGAAGCACACCACAGGCACACGGCTGGGCTGGGGGGGCTGCCTCTGCTGCAGCACCCAGCGCATACGCGAGATCTTAACGAACCGGCTGCATCTGCCCCCCGCTGCCGGCACGCAGCCGGGTGCCGGAGCCTCGGCCATGCCCGCCGCCACTCCGTGCCTCAGTTTCCCCCAGCTAGGTAGGACCTGGCCATGCTATAACCCCCACCCCGACCTCCTCACCCCTTCCCAAACTCCTGCGTCTGTGGAAAAGCCGGAGAACATCTGGCCAGGGAGCAGCCTTAGCATAATATTGGGCAGCAGCTGTGCCAGTGTTTGTGGATGGGCAGCCGCCTCCTCCGCTGGGCCTGCAAAAAAATGTGCAAAGGCAGGGTTTTCCCCCCCAGAACAGGCCAGAGCTGCGCTTTCTGGGCGGTGGTGAGGGTGGGTGATAGGATTTCAGAGCTGGGAGAAAAAGGATTAATAAATAAACGAGTGAAGGTGGGGAAGGGCCGGGTGGGAAGTGCTGACGGCAGCCGGGACCGCTCGCCTTCGAGGGGGTTATTCTTGGCGGCTGCCGGTCGGTGGGGTGGGCACAGAGGGGAGCGGGTATCTCTCACCATCCCTGCTCTTCCCGACGGAGTTGTCCTAAACGAAGGACAGCGCAGATCCGGCGCTTTCCACCCCGGGCATCCAGGCACAGGGTGCTGCGAACACAGACGACCCACGGCAGTGATGCGCAAGGGGACGTCGCCCCATCGATGGCCGCCGCGGCCAAGCACAACAGTTCGCAGCTGCAGGACTGCGGCCGCTGCTGACGGCGGCTCAGGTCGCCGGTCCCTGGCCAACACCCGAGTCCCATGAAAGGGCCCATTGATGGTGGAGAGGAGGGAGGTACCGGAGACGGGGTCCCCCCAGCTCCTCGCCCCCCCAGGCTCAGGTCAGCCCGAGCCGAGACAGGACATGAGCAGCCCACCCTGCTCTTCCTCCCAGCAAGGAACTGGGGGCTGACAAGGGCCTGGACCCCCTCGCCCTCCCCAGTCCCAACCCCACACCCTCAGGACCCAGAGGGAAGATGCTGGGAAGCACATCAAATAAGTTTAAATGCATTATTGGGACTTGCCCGTGTAGCAGGGTAGGTTTTTTTCTCCTGCAGTAATTCAGTAATTCTGTGATGAGACTTAAGGTCTCTTCAGTTGGTTAAGGAGCGCTTCCCTTTTGCCTATTCCGACCCCAAAATCCACTCCTGCACCAGGAGACATCCTCGCTTCGCACCAGGGAGAAGCAAGGCCAAAGGCAGAGGGGCTTTTCCCGCACCTCCTGCCCGGCCGAGGCTGCAGGCGAGTCTGCAGCATCCAGAGATGCACCCCAAAACCAGACTTTCATAGACTTTTGCTGTCCCCCCTCAGCACGGCTGTGCTCTGTGTGGCTTTCTGCTGCCTGAGGAGACACTGCACACTGCACAGCTCTGCTCCTTCTCAGAGGCATGAGCACACCAGGTAACTCCCACCTAGCAGCACATTTTATCAGCATGGTATGAATTTAATCGTGACATATATACAGGTGCTGCAAGGATTATCGCGACCGTTTTGTACAGACTTATCCACGAAACCTTACAGAGGGCTCAGGCAAGAGCTCTGGCCTGGACAGGTACAGACGCCGCGCAAAACTCAACTCTTCTTCACAAACTTCTCTCTCCAGAGAAGGTTTCCAAGGAACAGCCCAGGAATCAAGCGTAATTTAAAAGAAAATACACCGTGGGGCTATTCTCATTCTGTGCTAAAGGCACATATCACAGCCAGTGGTCATGCTCATGTAGGCTGCAACAACAGCCGAGCTCAGTCTTCATCATCTGTAGCTCTGTATTAAATGAGGAGCCACCAGATTTACTGCCAGCAAGGGCTGGGGAGGCCTGCAAAGCAGCTATGAGCTTGTCCAAATTTACACCCTCCAACTGTAGAGGGATCCCCCAGCTTTGCTGACCATCACCAGCACGAAGAGAAGAGTTACGCAGTCGGCAGCACCACGTTCGTGTACAAACCGAGTTAATAGCAACTGTTTCCAAGTCACTCCGCTGCCAGGACAGCGGTGAGACAGCACAAATTTGTTTTCCTTTCTTTAAATCTCGTTGGATTAAAAGCTACATCAATCCCTTCCCTAGAATAAATATCATTGTCTTTGTAGAACTGAAACATCAATTCTGCTTCCTTCCACCCACGTCCCTGAAAAAAGAGATGTATGTGCAGACATATAGATCTTCTCCCTTTAGAAGCTGTCCATGGCACAGAGCTGGTTAGGCTGCCGGGAGAACCAACCAGGTTCGGAAGAAATGGAGTCAGAGTTCACTTTTTGGGGTTTTTTTTGGCATTCTTAGCGATGGTGACATATTAAGACATCCCAAACCACCTCATGATTGAGAAAGGAGAGAGACTTTATTTACATAAAGTCATCTGAATCGTTGCCATCCTGTGGGAAGAAAGACAAATCAGGATCATTGTGCACATTAAAACGGAAAATGGTGAAATGGTGCATTCAGCAGGATTTCAGAATTGCCATTTATTCTGGTTTCCTGCCATTTCGGTACAAACACCGCGAAATCAGACCAAACGGATGCTCAACAGCTCTGGAGCAGGAACAGCTCTGTGTGAGGCTCTGCGTTGTGAAACAGCAGTTGCTATTTGCTGTCCCTGCGATGTATCACTTCCCTGAAACTGCAGCCCATCTGCTGCGATCTGGGAGGAACCAGAGAACAGGCTCTCACCAGCAGCTTTGTGGACCATCTCCATATCACAACCTGAGTTTCTTTCTGACTCAGGAGAAGGAAAGCAGTCTGGCACCACGCGGGGGTCAAGTGCAGAGAGGAGGAGACTCCCTGCACAGCATTTCCACCATGCCTCTCCCTGGCAAGTGTCACTAACCGGGCACAGCCTGCTTGTTCATGTCAGGAGATGCTTATACTTCAACCCAGTTCAAGTTTCAAAGGGCATCTGCATGCCAACCAGGAGGAAAAGCAAGGATTCTTGAAAACCACACACTCCTCTAAGCAGTTAGTCAGGAACTAGGATACGAAAGGTGGATTTTGAACTGAGGGTGACTCAGAGGAGCTCCAAGATCCATTCACTCAAGGTCCCACCAAGGAGGAAGCTGCAGACGTGCCAGACCTCAGGCAAAGCACAGGTGCATCCAGTGCACACCAGGGCCTCTTCTGAACTTCAGCCCCCAGCCCTCCTGTGACCCACCTCCTCATTTCCCTCCTGCTGGCCTGCGTTCCTCTCCATTTTGGCTCCTTTTCCACCGTCAGACTGCAGCCATGTTATACTGCTTCAGTCCCAGGCCAACACCTGCTTGCTCTCTGCAAGCACATCCCTTCAAGCTTCCTCTTCTGCCCCTCAGCACCTATATTCATCCCTCCCCAAACTGTTGTCCTTACACCTCCAGTTTACTTCTTGTTAAAAATGTGCATTTCCCCCCCCCCTTGAAGTAACAAGGTGGCATATGCAGGTCATGGTTGCCATTAGGGAGACCTCCTCAGCTCACGAGCCAGGTTATGCCCAAACAGCTCACAAGGAGAGTCAAGCCTGGTGCCCCACTTCAGACTCCATCTGTTCTTTCACTTGGGTGGGAAGGGGACTGGGAGGACCTTTGCACACACTTCCAGCAGCACAGACTCCTCCTGGCTGACATACAAGCAATAGGGCCCTCTCGGAAAGTGGAGGAAAGTGACAGTGTCCTTCACCGAGAAGGGGTGACAGAGATGTGCTCTGTCATGCAGGAGTCACCAAAACCAGACTGCAATGCGGGAGCTGTACCATCATGATCCCGCATTGAATTTCAGCTGTCTGAAAGGTTTCTGTGGGCAGTCTTACCTGATTGGAGGACATGTTCTCAGCCTTCATTAAGGATGAGTAGCTCCTGGAAGAGAAATTACATCATCTTGCACAATACATTTTCAAAACCCACCAACAGAGAGGCGTTTTGATAAAACAGGACCAAGTAACAGAAAAACAAATTTTCTTCCTTTCTGAACTCAGGCAGGCTGGACCTGTATTTGCTTATCTCATACTCTTCGGCTAATTAAAACAACCAGACAAAGCCCAGGCACTATGCAGACTCCTCCACATTTTTGTTCTGGAACTACCAGCTAGATCATCCCAGGAGGTAGAAAATCCTTTACTTTGGGGGATGGCCAAGAGGCAGCTCTGGGGCGAGGTTAAATAAGCAGGCAGGCCCCTTACTCTGTAGCACAGACGTGCCTGCTGGTGACTTCTCCCCAGTTTAGTTTGCTTCTCTAAGCTCTCATTTCTGACCTCTACATGTGTTGAATCACTCACAAAATCCCAGAGTTTTTCAAATTCTGGTTTCACTGTCATTTACAGATAAACAAAACTTACTAAAGCTTAAAAGCAAGTTTTTGGGGCAAGCCAGTGGATACGTCCAGTGCTGTACAGGGCCGTCAGTACTAAGGAACAAGCTCACACATGCTGTGGTATGGACAGAAAGGTCAATATGACATTTCAAAACACCATCCCTCATTCTGTGTTTAAAGGAGCGTGTGACTGAGGATTCACACATGTTTTAGTTAACATCAGTGATGCAAGAGGAAGCTGAAGAACTCTAGCAAAGGCTCAGTGCTTTCCAAGGCTCACGCAAAGCTGGAAGCAATTGCTCCCATCCCAATGACAGAGTGCCAAGCTGCTTGCCCAATTTCACCCAAGTTAGGGACAGGTTTCAAAAGGCTCAGTCCTTTCTTTTAACAATGGTTTAACGTGCAGGTTTATTTTAGGAGAAATGGGGAAAACACATTTATTCTAAAGACAAAGGAAATCACTGGGCCATGCAGACGTCTATGCCAGAGCAGGTCAGCTGAACACTGAGTAATGCCAAGCCAACTGTTAAACAGAAACTGCTGACCCATGACTCCCTCCCAGCACCAATGAAAACTGCAATAGTTAGAAGTTGGCACTACAATTTATTACTTACCTAAGTTCTTCCAGCTCTTTCTTCTTCTTCATCTCTTCCTTTTCCTTCCGCTTCATCTCTTGGATCTGGGCTTTTTTCTCATTTCTCTCCTCTCTGTCCCTGGCTTCCTTCTCAGCCGCCAGGTCTGGGAAGCGCTCCACTTTTGTCTTCTCTAGCCGGTTCAGGATCTCGTTCACCTTCTTCTCCACTGTCAGCATTTTCACCTTTGGAGTGCAAAAAACTGTGATCCTTATAAAAAAATACTTTTATTCTGGCACTTTCTCAACGGAAAGAAAACACCCTATTTCCACTTTACACATGGCTGAATCCCACAAAAACAGATGCTAAGGAAAATCACTGCCACCAAGGCCTATTCAGCAGGTTGTGTAACAGCAAAAAGAGGCCCACTCCCAACACTCAGAAGCACATAGCTAATAAGCATAAGCATTGCTAAGTACATAACCATTAATAATTTTGTTTCTTGGCACATGCCTCAACAAAGAAGCCAAGAGACAAGAACCAGTCTCTGCCAATTCCTGAAGAGGTGGCATGAAGTCTCTGCAGACCCATTTCAGAAAGAGAAGCACACACGCTGCTTGTTGACTGCAGGGGTTTTAGCATTTCTTGCCCTGGTACAGACCTGTTCTAGCCAAACAACTGCACCCCTAGAGAGCCTTCTCTCCCAGCAGCCAAGGTACATAACTACAACTTAAGCATAACATTATCTGTGGACACTAGGTCAGGCTCGGGAATACCTTAGTACACTGGCTTGACCCTACACCAAAGCTAAGCAGCTTGGCCTTTTAACAGGTTTAACAAATTCAGAGGCAGCACCAGGGTGAGACAGCTCTTGGAGCAGAGACAGTAGAGCGAGCACAGCATCAGACACCCCCAGGACCCCACACAGCCCTCCTCTGCCCAGCAAGTTCAAGTCCTGAGCCCTTCCAGACGTGTGGTTACAGTACTGTCTGTGAGCTGATCCAAAGTGACTGCTCATATGCAGGCTCTTCAGCTCTGGTAAGAGATGATTTCAGTGGAGATAAATTCAAACAGATAGCACAGACTAACACATGATACCATTCGGCATCAGCAAAGACTCATCAGCTACACCATGCTGCAGTTTCGAAACACACGCTGCACAGGCTACACTCTGCTACAGGCCAACACTCAACCATGGATTTTCAGGTGACGTTCAGGCAAGTCCAAACATGCTCCTAGGATCTCTCTTAGGCTTCAAGAGTGGATGATTCCCTGGCTTTAGGGCAAACGCTGAAGACAAACCACCCAGCTCCTAACATGGAAACGTTACAGTCTGCCACCAGGTCACCATCACTGGCTTACAGCAAACACTTACATCCTTCTGCCTGTGAAAGCCAATCTGCCCCACATCCATGTCTGCAGTCTTCTTCAGGTTAGTCCATGGCGTGTATACAACATTGACGTTGTTCATCTTGCAACCTAGGAAGCAAGGGAGAAGGGAAACATTTCAGTTCTCTCCCTGCTGAAAGAGGTCTTAAAGCCTTCCGTGAACATGGAAACACTGGCAGTTATTCCTGTCACAAACATTACTAGCTAGGCAAGAAAGACGAAAACGGAGAAGCCCTTCCAGTGTTACAGTGAAACGGAAGAACACCACGACATCATTTTCTGCAGTAACATGAGCGCTGCAGCAGTGTTAACGAACTCCAGATGGAGACCGTCTTTGCCAGAAGAGTGATTACTATGGAAGGGGGCCCCAAGGTGGTGTTAGAGAAGAGACTGCAAGGCCTCCTTGGCTCAGACAGTAATATGGAGGCACAAACAGGAATTTCTGAGATTTAAAATTCCTCCTTACAAAAGTGTAACAGGCAGCCCCAGCAGCTGCAAGCGACATCTGCTTCCCGTAAGACCCGCTGGCACAGGCTTAACAGAGAGCACCACAGCAGAAATGTCACAAGTGTTTGATCCAAAAAACCACACGCTCGTGTGGACCAGAAACACTCGCCGCAAACATCTCACACCGATTTCCCGGGAATCGGTATTACCTTGAATGCTATTCGCCTTCACTAGATGGGCACAGTCTATCAAAACTTCTTTAGGAATGTCATCCACCGTCTGCCCCTGTGACAGAGCAAGGCAACGTGAGCAGCTTGCGGCAGGGGGCTGTAGGGACTGATGAGCACACAAAAGCCAGGAAGCAGGGCATGATCATCTACAAACACAGCCAAGACCTCTACGCTCCACATTTTACAAGACTGGAGTCTTCTGTGGCATTTGTGAGGAGAGGCTTGAAGCACTATGAGCGACTTGCAACCTGTTTTTCTGAAAGGTATCCTCATTTAGTGGGTGATGGTTCCTAGACATACGCTTGGTGTCAAGCCAGAAATCAATTGTTCTGTTGGGCCATGTTATACTTCCTGCTCCTCCCCACGTTATTTGGTTAACAGAGGCTGTAAATTCAGTCTCCCCACACTGGTGGTTACCTGCACCCTGAGGGAGCCCTGCAGACTGTAGCAGTTCACGTAAGCAAAGATGGTCTCTTGCGCAGGAATCACTGCAGAATGGGCACATGCAGTTCTTATGCGAGTGAATATTAATGTTTTTAAATGTACGTGTCACAGGATTACCTTGTGTAACCGAAGGTACACATGCGCGGAAGAGAGCTTATCCACATGAAACCTACAGAATAAAAAAAGCACATTTAACAGAGGATAAGAGACGGTGATCTGTTCTGAAAGATTTACTTCCTAACAAGTGACAAAATAGCCACTCCATGGATGACTAAAGTATAGAAATGTTCATGTTTAAAAGCAGGCAAGGGAGTCAGAGCCTATCCTTCAAGAAACATCAGTCCTCTCAATGGGAGACTGAAAAAATAAAAACCCATTCCCCCTCCCTTTTTTTCTTTGAAATGTTATACTACATGCAGGCAACACTCACAGCATGAGCCTGTGTATGTGGTGTTTTGATCTGTCTATGTATTCTTAAGAGGAACAGCAAACTCGTGAACTCTGCAGCAGGCACTGCTTCACCACTTACATGACTAGTCTCAACATCATGGAGTAAAAAATCCCCCAAATTTCCCACTGGTCAGTACTAATGGAGCAGCCCAGTGCTCTGCCTCCAACAGCGGGAACAGGCGATGCTGCCTGGGAAGTTTACCATGCCTAGTGGTTTCAGTGGGTACCAGTCCCAACAGCAGGTGAACACCAGTTCTGCATTCACTTCATTCACTGTCTCCAAGATTTCATAAGCCTCGATCACCCTGCCTCCCTACCAGACTGAAGAGAGGTCTCCACTCCAGTCCATCCTTACAGCACAGCTGTTCATCTCCTCAATGGCTCCAGCTGCCCTTCTCCAGACCTCTTCTAACTTGACTGTGTTTTTACCATAATCACCTATTTTTTAAGCCTCTGTCCTGATCAACACTCACTCCAACCCTGCAGACTTCCAAGGACAGAGGGGGGAAACTGATCTCATGTTACCTCCCAACCTTTCTTTCCACCACTTCCTTTTTAATATAACTGGACTTTTTCCTTCCTGCTGCAAGACAGAAAACACTCCAGCACCAACACATGAACTCTCACTTGTACCTCCTGAGCCTCCTACCCCAGCTCCACTGGATCCCTCTTAAAGATAAGTCTAAAAAGTGCCAGACACCATTAGAACAATTCCCAGGAGGCCTCCGCAAGAGGACCTAGGATATTTTGTTGAGATGGCACCAGGATACAAAAAAACCAACATAGATGTCAGTGTGAGCTACAAGATACAAAAGAGGTGGGAAAAGATGACTTTCATGGTTCAGGCAATTTGAGAATGAATCTCAAGGTCATTCCTAAATAACAGTGTAGACATACCTTAAATTATGTAGTGATAGGACAAACATGAGACAGAAAATTAATGTGATACTGCTACAACAGTGTGTTATTCAGCTGAAGTACAATCTCTTCTGCTAGAAAAGAAAAAATATTCCCTTGCCAGTTAGCTGACTGCTGACAAAACATCCTCTACAGAGTGTGTTAGATACTACCTATTCAAGCTTCAGTCCTACCAAGACATCTCAGCTCATCCTGGCAGAGGCCACTTTGAAGAGCAAGAAGGAGCACAATCCACATGGTGCTTCTTGTTAGAAACTGTTAGCAAAGGAGAGGGCGGCAACTGTGATACAGCTGGTCTGTGCAATAGTGCCTGGAAGCAAGCTAACTCCTTCCTAAACATCTCTCAAACCTTATCAGTTTGGAAACTTTATGGACTAATCCAGCCAGCAAAGATGCTGTGAATTGCTGCTAACAGGTTTGCGAACTCCCCTGCCCTTGTTTTCTCTTCCGATGAGACCTTGTGAGCCAAAACCAACCCACACATGACAGAGCGCTTCCTTTTGCCTGCCTGGCCAAAGCTCTAGCAGGTCTGCTTAAAGCAGACACGGCTTTCACCTGGCAGGAATCAAAATATCAAACTCCTCTGCTCCTGCTCACCAACTGCAACTCCTGAGATGGCATCGGCTGTTTTACAGGACAGGCCAGTACATGCGCACAGCACACACAGGGGTGACACAGAGGAAAAGGCACTGGGAGACAACAGACAGTTTTCTCTAGGCACAGCATTTACTGTTGCTTAAAAAACTTCTGGCTCCATCCCCAGGCCCCGTCTGCTCCGTGATTTCACATGTTGATGCCTCCACTCTGCCTGTCCTCTGTTAGCCTTTTGGTTTTGCTGGTTTTGCTTCTCTGTGTGTGTGGACATCCAGGATCTGATACTCTTGCTTGACTCAGGAGGTGTGCTCTCTTACAAATACCAAGCTGCCCTTCTCCTTTAACTCTGCTCATTTCCCAAACACAGAAAGAGTAACAGCAAGCTAGCACCTATATTCTGAAACATAAATATCCATGTATGGAATTATTCAGGTTATTGCTACTCCAGCAGCTCCATGCACAGAAAAACCCCCAAAAGCTTCACAAAGGGGCCAGCTCCTATGATGAACAAAGCGGGGGGCGGTCAAGGGGGAGGTGCAGGGGAATGAATTCAGAATCAGTGGGGTCCCAACAGCTGCACCCAGGTCTTCTTCAATCCACCTCCACCCTGGGATTGTATTTAAACTGCTAAGTGGCCTTGGAAAAAAAGAGACTCTACAGTGCCTGTGGAAGCAAGAGGGTTGTTACAATCATTTGACTCGGGTACATAATGAAAGGCAATTTGTTTCAGCACCTACCAGATATCTTCAGGCCAGCCATACTTTATTAGATCTTCATCTGTAGGAATAAAAGCATCAATGAGCAAAGCCCAGGACCTCATCAACAACAAATCCAACTACCTGTCGAGCAGGAATCCTCTGCTGTTGGTCAGCCACTGCATGGCGACTGAACCGAAAGAGAAAAGGGTTTTAATGCTGCACCTGTCTGCTCCACGTATGGCAGAAACAGGTAAGCCAGGAACACCTCCATCACGTAATTTTGAAATTTTTAAGTGAAAATATGTTTCTTCAAATATTGATCTAATGGGGGGAGACTTTCAGGGCAAATCTTCAAAAGAGCCACACTAACACTCTTCCCTTGGAGTAAGACACCCGGTTTCACATCAACTACTGATGTGGAAACAGGAAGAGCAGCAGAACCGTAACCTTTACCATGAGGGAAAGGATGGGCACAGGAAACCTACAGAGTACGAGTGCTCACTGGAGAGGGCAAAAATACAGACTGAGCAGGGAAATGGAAGGTTGGTTTGTAAAAAGTTACCAAACGCAACCCGAAAAACAGTATTTTTCTCTAGACAGATTTTTTTTCCCAGTGAATTTAGTTTTCACTTGTATTTGAAGGCAGTTACACTGTCTAGTGGATTTACAAAATTTATTTATCCTAAATAAAAGTAACACAGTGGATTTCAGAGGGGTAAGTCAGAATCACTTGCAAGGATGAACAAGTTTTCAAACAATATATTGAATTAACACATACAAAGACATCCTTTCAAAATGACCTTATATCCCCACAAATCTAAATCTAAGCCGTTAGGCATTAATGTACTTACTTTCGTACTTATCTTTTCCCATGTAAATGGTGTAAACAGAAGGAACAACTGAGGGATAGAAAGAGGAAAACAAATCAAAAGGGGTTTGGACAAACTGTGCAAGGAATGACAAACGCACCAGTCTTGGTCACAGAAATTAGAATGAAAACTGCTCCGTCCATCCATCCATCCATCCATCCATCCCATTTCTCTCCTGGGGGCCGAAGGAAGATGGTTTTGCATTTCTTCCAGATTTTGTCCCAAATACTTCAACAGACTTTGGAATGTGGCATTTCCACTGCTTTCCATGGAAGATTATCCAGCAAAGAACAGCCTTCTGGGCAAAACCCCCTCAACATCCAGGTGGTTCAGAGTGTATCTGTGTAATTGTACAATCTGTTCAATTAAGCACATGTCTGGAGCCAGAAAGGCTGACATTGTATTTACAGTCTGGGATGAACATTCTGTAGGTACTTGAGTGAAACAGCTCATCCCAAAGTACCAGAAGCCCAATGTGAACCTCCTCCAGGTAGCCTGGGAGGATTAAAATTCACAACACAATGGAAAGACTGAAGTTCCATAAACTCATTTGGCTCATCTGTGCCCTACTGGGACACGTAAAACAGTGTCCTTCTCTTCTTTAGGGCTCCTTCCATCAGGCAGTAAAGACACTGCCAATTCTGGGAAACCAAGCAAGTGTCCCTTCAGCATCTCGACTGAAGGCCAGCACAGCTGGGAGATGGACACAGAGCAGTTAAGAGGGTGCTACAGTCAGGGAAGTCCTGTTGCAGAAATCACTGAGCAGCCTGCTTAAAAAAATGCTCCGTTCTTGTATGTGGCAGCAGGGAAATCTCAATTTCACAGCAACACTATCTACCAGATTGTCACGTTTCCAGCTTCTACAATTTTTAACAATTATCTTGTGCGTGAGCAAATGCTGCAGCTGTAGTTACAAGCCTCAGCGATGCACTGAAATTTAGCTGTTCTTCATGAGGACCTACAGCACCTGTGCACTTCAACACGAAGAATTACTGAGAGCGGGTTTTCTGCAGATGGCTTCACACTGTAACAGCCCGTGGCTGAAACAACCTGCTGCAGCAACACAGATTTGCGTTTTTCATATATTGTTGCAGAACAAACAGAATTCTCTAAAGCAACTCACAAATTAAGGACTAAGAGCAAACAAACGAAAGGCAGGTGACCAAATCTGCCTCCAAAAAGCATCTTTTGAAAATATGGTGTCTAACCTCATATTTTCAAAGTCACTAAAATAGCAGACACACTTCACTTACGTGCTACCACTCTGGCAGTGAAATGACTTGGATCCCAAACTGCTTACTGACCCAGTCCTTTCTGAGGGCATTTTTATTAGAAATCCAACATCACTAGCACAAAGCCCAGATGACACTTTTCAGTTTAGTAATGAGGTAATAAGAAATGGAAATTCAAAAATGTGAAAGGATTATATGCCTGTGGGAGTTAAAGGTTGGGAAAAAATCCACCTTGGACACATAGGAGAGTCCAGAGAATGTGAGATCATTGTGACTACAGGCACTACCCATAAGCGTAAAATTAAATGCTCAAAAATAAAATTGCATTAGCGATAGTTCTGTGAAAATGAAGCTCATCCTGCCAAAACAGCGGGGGAACACTAACATAACCAAAGAGGAGATTACTTAAAACCCATATGATTTAACACACATTAGTAACAGTGCAACAGATGTTAGGCAAATGGTAATAGCCTTATTGTAGACCTCTCTCTGGCAGCAAAACTGATTATAATGCATCAGAAACCCTCTGCAGAACTAGCATTTAAAAACCAAAGGAGACTGTTCACATCATTAGCAGAGTTAACTGCAGCTTGTCTGCTCCTAGTACCCCCTGAGGTACCCTACACGTCTGCCAGGCACTGTACCAGGCTCTTTCCTCCCCACTAAAAGGGAAGTCCAGGAAAGTCTCTGAACTTCTCCCTAACAGCCTCCAGATAAGCAGAAAATGTTTCCATCCATGCTGGGTTAAGTGATCAACACAGCCAGTGCATCTGTTCACTGAGGGTGTAAAGGGCCTGACTTGCCACAACAGAGGAAGAAAAGGGTTTAAACCAATCCCAAGAACAAATTTATTTAAGAAACATTCACAAGACTGTTAAGTCTTGCCTTGTCCAAGGAAAATCAAGCAGCCAGAGGCTCAAATCCTTCTCACTACAGAACTTTCTCTCTAGAATGGAGAAAAGCTATGCTATAAAATTTAGCTTGTGGGTACAGTGGGTAAAGGGTAAAAACCACACTGAAACTTTCACAAACAGTTTATACACTGGTCAGATGCCTGGGGGCACACCAAAAAGGAATATTCCTGTACTACCCTCCCTATCATCAGCCCATACTGCATCAAACCACAGATTTCTGATGCTTCAGAAGTGGCCAACCTTTTCGTATGGGCAAGCAAAATGGATCTGTCTATATTAAAGGAAAAATAATGAGACAATTTATGCATTAAGCCTTCCCACAAACTCCCGACGGCAGCACACTTGAGAAAGCTTTTCAGAAGTCACTCACCGATACTGCTATTCATTCAAGGCTGTTAGCAACCACTACTAAGAGGCTCCTCAGCTCAGGAAACCTCGTAGCTCCTAAAACGAGTTTAAGTTGTAGCCGATTTCGGCCCAAACCGTGTCCTTTACACCCAACCCCGGGCGCTCGCAAAAAGGCACCGGCAGGACTAACGGGGCTGCTGAGAGGGGTAGGGGCAGGAGGACGTGCCGTTACCGGACGGCCCCGCTCTCTGAGGAACCGGCCGGGGGCGCGGCCCAGTGCTCCCCTCACAGCGGCGGGACCCGGCCCGTCACAGACCGGCCCTCCCCCCGCAGGCACTAAGGCCTCTAGCCGCTCTCCCCTCACCCACTCACCGTTGGAGGTGAAGTAAAACACCATAGCGGCGGCTCCTCAGCCCGCCCGGCCCGGGGCTCCACACGGCTGCCGCTCTCCCGCTCCAGCAGCGCCTGAGCGACGGCGGAAACGAGCAGGGCGCATGCGCACCGGAGGATCTCGCATGCGCAGTGCGGTGCGAACGCGCTCTTCCCCCCTCTACGCATGCGCCAACTCTCCGGGCGGTGAAGCCAGAAAGAGCACTGCGCACGCGCAAAATTCCCGGTAGGCGACGGCACAGGCAGTTCAGCGCATGCGCGTTATGCCCCAGCAGTGCTGGCACGCCATGTCGCGCATGCGCAATACCGCGGCTCGCAGCTTCCCGCCGTGTGCGCATGCGCAGGGCTCAGTGCGGCGGGGCCGGCTGAGGGGCCTGTGGGCGCAGTTTATTTTATTTTATTTTTCCTGGATACGCGTAAATGTCCCTGGGAGCGTGCCTGGGGGCCACGGGAGGACCTCAGCGGGGGGGCCTCCATGGAGCTGCCGCCGCCCTGTCACCTCTCACAGGCCATTTAAGAGCAAAGACGCTGCTGGGCAACCCCTAACCGCCCCCTTAACCTTTGCAAACGCCTCTCGATTTACTCCATCCCCTGTTATGCCCAAATCCCCGCCTTGAGCCTCCCGCCCCGTCCGCCGCCCCGCGCATGGACTACAACTCCCATCAGCCCCCGCGCGCCCACCCTCCCCACCCCCCGCAGCGCGGAGGCGGCTCTGCCCTCGCGAGGCACGCTGGGAGTTGGAGTCTCCCTGGGAGGAGGGGGTGGGGGAGCGTGGCGAGTTCTGCCACCTGATTGGCTGTAAAACGGGTAGGGCGGGCGCAGAGCGGCGCGCCGCAGCTAGGCCAATGGCGATGAAAAACAGCGTGAGTGACGAGGCGCTCGGCCAATGGTAAGGGGAAGGGCGGGCGGGCGGGAGAAGGCGCGCGGATTCGAAGGCGCGGGAGCGTTGGCGGCGGAGGCGATGCTGAGGTGAGGGAGCGCGGCCGGGGCCGGGGGGGAGCGGGGCCCGGCTCAGGCTCAGGTGTGTGTGGAGGACGGAGGGGGGAGGGTTTGGCGCCGTGTCGAGGCATAGGGCTTGTGTGAGGGGGAACGAGGCGTGTGGGTGACAGGGCCTGGTGCGGTTCTGAGGCGCCTGTGTGGGCTGAGGGGGGAGTTGCTGGGCCCCCGGCCTGGCGTTGTATGGTGGGGGTGGGAGTGTGTGTGGGGGAGTGTGAGTGTGAGGGGTGTGGGGCCCCGGGCTGGGGGTTTGGTGCTGTGCTGAAGTGTACCAGGCTCTACATAGAGGTGTAGGTGGGGTGGGGGTGATGGGGGGGAGGCAGCGTGGGGCCCGGTCCCGGGTGAGGTGCGGAGAGGGGGCTTCTGGGGGGTTTGGGGGGCTTTGGTTAGGTCCTGGGGGGTGGGAGATGTGTGGGGTGCTGTGGTAAGGGGCTGGTGCCCCAGTAGGGTGTAGAGTGCCTGCAGGGTGTTGGGATGAAGGTTTGATGCAACGCTGAGGTGTGGGGCTTCTGGGGTGAGGGGCTGGCTGGGATCAGGACTATGAGCATTTTGGGAAGGGGTGTGGGTGGTGGGGGCTGGCAGCGGAGGGCCACTCTGCAGGGAGTGGCCTATGGGACCATCAGGTTAATAGTGCAAGTTATAAGGATTGCCCTCCCCACCCCCACACCTTGACTTTCCTGCCAACAGTGAGTCCTTTTCTTATCTTCTCTCTTTCATCTGTACCTGATATCTTATTTCCCAGGTACCTGCCGGCTTGTTGTTGTTGCCCTGTGCTTCTAAGGCATTGCCTGCCCTCTCTTGAAGTTCCCCTCTGCCAGCACTGCTCTGTGCTGAGGTTGTACAACTCCTGCTGCAGCTATGCAGCTCCTGGCTCCATCCTCTGCCTCCGCGTGTGTTCTTGGTGTTCCTGGGCTTGACAACAGCTTGTCATGTCTGAGCTGTCATCAGCCACCACTTCCCCAAAACAGCAATACCTTAACGCAGGGAGGTTAGGAGGAACTTCCCCCTACTGGTAGATTATTGAATAAATTATTATTTCTAGTAGTTCATGAGCTCTTATTACTAGTCTTCTTGGATACAGAGTATTTATTCTGGGGTTTCAGTTGTGAAAAGCCATGTAACAGAAAAGTTAATATTTTACGATAATGATCTCAAACTGAGAACAAACAGCCTCGAGTGTTAAACTGCTTTAAATGGCTACTGTGTTAATGAAGGCTAAAAAAGTGTGGTTTATGGTATTTGGCAAGACGGGAGCTGGGAGAGAAACTCTAGAAGTCTGTTGGGTAAAGAGCTGTCTCGCCTGGGAGGTAAATGCCAGCGTGAAATCCTCACAAGAATAAACTGACCGCAAATACAGGCAGGAGCAAGAAGGTTTCTAGGAATGTGTCAGGGAGGTCTGGAATGAGCTTTGCAAGAGAGAGAAAGTAGAACTAATTTCTGAATTATCTGACTCCATTTCAGAAAAAGTACTTTAGGATGCATTTGTTCATGATGACAGAATCTGACTTGACCTGGAAGATCTTTTCTGTGTGCGCTTGTTTTATGGCTTATGCTCAACTGAAACAGAGCCCTGTGTTGTTCTAGTCTCTGTCATGCCTGAACTGCTGCCATTCAGTGTTTTCTTCACAGTCCCCCTCCTCCTCTTCCTTCTTTACTGATTTTTGTTTTGTTTTGTTTTTTACTGGAAGTTTATTTCCACCTATTAAAATTGTGTTCTTGTAGGTGCTCTGGTGAAGACATGGCAGCTGTTACCCCACAGAAAAGGAGCCGTAGTTCTACTGATACCGATGGGTATGTTAACTTTTTTTTTCTCCTTAATCATGAATAGCGCCGATTCTGTCGGCAGCGTTCCAGAAAGTAGAATGACTGTTGTTCCCAGGTGCTTTAACAAGTTCAGGCAGGAAAATAGATTTGCTATTTAAAAAAAAAAATGTGGAGAATGGTGAGACAGTTTTAGGCCTTTTGATATTTGTGTATTATATTTTGTTATTTGATATTTGTATTTGTTACAGAGCATGTACCAGTACAGGCAACTAGGCTGAGTGAAAATTAAGTGTTACTTAAGTAAAATAATAGTTGAAAAGCTTTCAATAGTACATGTGATGTTTTGCTCTGTAATTATTTTTACAGTTCATCCTTGGCCTTTGAGACTCCTGTGAAAAAAATGATGATAGGCTTTGCTGAAGGTCTGTCTCCACTCAAGAAATCAAGAAATGATTGGTTTGCTTCTCAAATAAAATGGTTATCTAGCTCCAGTGATGAGATGAAAGAAAATGAGGCTGTCCCAGTGAAGCCGGCACTGTCGAGGAGGCTGGATGTTTCACCTCTTCAGGCAGCCAGTGTTCCCACAGCCGCGCAGAGGGAGTCCTCAAGGAAATTATCCCCAAAGCCCGCTTCCTCATACAAGCCCCTTATGCCTGTGGTGTCTTTTTATAGCAAGGAAAAGCGATACCTTACTCCTCTTGAGAGGAAACAACTGAATGAGAACCACTCCTTGGGTGAGAGGAACAGGGAGGAAAATCTCCCAGCTGCCAGCAGGACTGAGAAGATGAACATGAACTTGAGCAGGAAAACAAGCTTAAAGCCAACCAAGCACTCAACGAAGCATGGCAAAACTGTCCCCAAAACACTTAAGAAGGCAAAAGGAGATGTACCAGTGGTAAAACCCAGTGTGGAGAAAGAGAATGTGAATTGCCTCATTAAAAAGAAGATGGATTCACCCTTCAGAGTCCTAAGCATGACAGTTAAACCAGCCCTGAAACTCCAGTTGGGAGCAGCGTTCTTTTCTGCCAGGAAGAAATCACACTCTAAAAAACCAGTTGTAGACACTAAATCTCTCCAGGGTCTCCCCAAGTCTCTGCAAGAAAATGATCAGCCCAGACCACCGACAACTACAAAGTCTAATTCAGCTGATAGAAACAAAATTCTTGAGGCGGGTGGTATATTGAGAAGTATTTCTGTGCCTCAGAAGAAGGGAAATGAAAACAGGGAGGATTTTACAAGCTGTGCAAATCAAGACAGAGATTTGGCATGTGAAGGAAAAACATCTCCGCAAAAAAGCAGAAGCACCTCTGGTCGGTTTTGGGCTTCGAAGTCTGCAGCTGCAGGAGACAGCGATGCAGAGAATGTGGTAAGTAGAGGGGTCATCAAGACCCACGGAGGCCTTCAGGTGACACACACAGAGGTTTCTGAGCAAGCTGGAAGTAACACGTGCTCCAGTTATTCGGACATAGGGGGTTTATTTAGATATATTAGTGGATTTTGCCTAGGAAATCTTTCACAGGTTTATTCCTGCCTTACGAAGGCATAAAACTGTGGTAAACTTTCAGGAAGTTCTTGTCAGCATCCCCGTCTGTTGCTAGCTCTCTGTTGTGGTGAAATATTCCATTTATGACAGCTGAAAGGAAAGCTTTCTGCATGATGTTTTTCCAAAAGACAACATGTATTCTTTTTTTTGTGATAAAGGGCAGCTGAAAAATAAATTTCTAAATGTTTTAACAAATGTAACAAATCCCGAGGCTGACCTTGCTGAGTTTTGTGGGAGGTCAAGAGCCCACATCCTGGATGTTGTCCCCAGGTAACTGTTTGCAAAACCTTACCTGCCCAAAGCTTGGCAGAAAAAGGCACTTCTTGAGTTCTGCTGCTGTGCTCCTTGAAACCAGTTTTGGTTTTCCCCACCCATGTGCTTCTCAGCCAGTGAAGTAATCAGACAGAGAAAGCAAAATTGTTTCTTGAGTGTCTGTCTGTAGAGATTTCTCCTGGGTCACAAGATGTTGCTTGCTGGGACAGCCTGTGCTGTAAAGTGGCACTAGCAGGCTTTGGTGTGGTCTGGGCTTATCTTTTTAGCGATTATTTTCTCAGCAGGAACTATGTGTGCCAGTTCTAGAGCTCCCTTCTCCAAGGAAGCGAGGCTAAGCCCTGGTTTTGCATGCTTTAACAAACCAACAGTGACTTTTCTGAGCTGGTCTGTGTTTGAAGAACTGTAACGTTTTTGTATATCACTGAAGAGGTATAAGCTACCTTAGCAGTGAATACTCCTGGTGATAGAAAAGTGTTGTTTGGGTAGGGTTTTTTTTAAACATAAATTTCATTCTTGTGCAAATAGGTTTAGCAGTACTGGAATGGTTAAACTTTGCAATGAGTCTCACTTATTGTCAACCAGTTAATGCTTGCCAGACCTCACTTTTAATTTTAGGATTTGCTAGAGAATTGTTTAGTTTGGTATGTGGATTTCGCTTTCTAATGCGGTTCTTAGGTGTGAAAGATAAGGGTGGCAATGGAACGTGTGCAGCAGTAAAATACAAATTCAGAACAGGTTTGCAGACTGTTTCATTACACTTGATGTCATATTTTGCTGTTGCATTCTGGCATCTAAAACTTAGGAAAGTAGGAAAAGGCAGTGCAATACTACTGTAGTATTTTATACTGGGCATTGAAAGGAAGTAGTGAACAAGATGGGAAGCTGTTTTTATAGGGCTAATGTGTTCTATATTCCTGTGTCAGTTCAATAAAAGACAGTTTATTGCCTCCTTTGTTCACCTGCACTGTTTTAGTATCTCTCACATTCCTGACTTGATTGTCAATATGTTTTTACAATGCAGCATTAATAAACCACAAATGTTAGCTTGTGCAATCTAACCTTGCACATGCAGTAAAAAAAAAACCAAATGTGAAAGCATTTGATTCTGCTGTGATGGCAGTTTTTTGTGTTGGCAAACTATTTCTCAGAGGTTAACCAGAAGCATAGAGTGTTTGAAAAGGGAACGTAGTGACTTCGTTACCGCAAACTAAATACAGACCAAGTTTGGCCTTGATCTAGTCTCAGATTCTGCTACAGCCAGTTGCTTTGCCTGGTGACTGTCTAGCGTTCCTGATGGGAAATGATACACTGTCATATATAAAAAGAGCAGAGTTCAAGGCAAAAATCAGTTTGGCAAACTTTCATTTTTGTAGAACATTTGCAAGAGGCTTCCAAAAGCTGTGAAGATGCATAGTTGTAGACAGAGAATGAAGCAGAGTCCCAGAAATGCTGAGGTAGAGAAATGATACAAACCTCTATAGTTAAGATTTACTTAAAAACACAAGAAAAAAACCAAAACACATCCTGCACTAAAACAAAAGCAGGGGCATACATAAGTGTTAAGGTGTTGAGAATCAAAATCCACGATCATTGTCATAAGCTGAATTTGGTCTTACACTAGTCAAAGGCAGGTAGATGAGAAATGTTGATGGTACACCTCAAGGCTGTGAGCAACCTGCAGGACATGAACTTTTCCTCAGTGCTGGGATGCAATGTTTTCAGCAACACTTTCAAATTCAGCAGTCAGATGTAACTTTAATAATGGTGAGATGGGTAGTCTGCTAAGACTGTGTTTTGTTATTGGAAAATACAGCCATTGGTAACACTTCATAATGTCAATTAATGCTCATTGTGAAGGTCCCTTGAAGTGTATGTGATTCTGTAGCTGCTGTCTGAGAACTTCATCAACTGGAGAGGTTTTGTTTTGCCCTAAGAAAATTGTCTTAATTTATAGGATGTTGATGAAATCAGTTGTTCTACAACCTGTGAGTCAGATGATTGCATTATTCCTTCAAGTCAATCTCTGCGTGAGGCACATAAGCGAGGTAAGTTGGATTATACATGTCTTGGTCTATGACCTTTGTTGCTGTAGGAAAATGACACAGAAGAGACTTTGAAAATCTCTTAGGTTACCGGCTTTTCCTCAGCAGGATCAACTCTGCTGAATTCCCATGTTGTCCTATAATTTCGTGTTTATATAAGCTGGACAGTGATGATGGAGATTCTGCGTTTCCCTGATGAATCTGTTTTAGTGTTAAGCTGTATGTAAACTGTGTTTTATCCTGATGTCTAACCTATCTTTCCTCTTTGCTTTACTACATAGCTCATTCCCAGTAAGATTTGGGAAATTACTGTATTTGAAACCTATTATTATGTTTTTTCCCCATTCATTTCTCCCTGGACTGTTACCCTGATTCTTTCAGCTTTCCTTTTTAAATCTTTATTTGTAGGCATCTGACTTTTTTGTTTATTTTCTCCAAACTGAGTCATGTCTTTCCTGGTACAGCACTCCCAAACAGATCTCTGTCTGAGCCTTACCAGCACTAATTAGCAGGAAGGGAGTGATTCATATATTTCACATGTAGTGAAGGCATACATTTCCACAGGAAACTTTGTGAGATGCCTTTGGTTTGAGGCAGATGGTAACCCAAGTGTTTTACATGCAGCTGCTGCCCAGAGGGTTGATCCCTATCCCTTATTGTGCCCCAGCTTGTTAAGTGTAGTGGTTCCTCTTATCCTTATTTTAGTCTGTTTGTTTCTGTCTATTTTCCATACAAGAATGCTTTTTAAATTAAACTCTTAAATGCCCCTATGTGCTAGGTATTATCTACAAAGTTATAAACATATATTATTGTTTACTCCTGATGGTCACCGAGGAAACTCCACTCTATACGTTTTGTTTCAGCAGTGAATTATTAACAATAAGTACTTGAATATGATTTTTTTCTTTTTCCCTAGTCAACTTTGCCCCTTTTCTTATGGTTGGTTTACAGAGGCCATATTTCCCTACTAATGCAAGGGAATTTTCAGAAGTTATATATTAATTTTAAGACATTTATTATTTTTCCTCTTGGGGATAACAAGTGATAATAAAAAGAAAATATGTTGCTTAAATATTATTTTATTAAGGCAGACTAATGTGTTGGCCTTTACCTGCTGTCTCATCTTCCAAGTATGCACTAACATGTGCCAGTATGTTTGCAGGAGTTGAAGTCATGTTATTTTATCCTAATTTCCTGGTTTCTCCATTTTTTCCGTTTTAAAAATAGGCAGCATTTGCTATTCTAGCCTCGGCAGCCCTGGGTTAATTCAATCCTTGCTAGCCTGAAAAGTTCTAATTTATCTGAGTGGTCTCTCAACATCTTTCCCCAGCTGTGGAAGTTCAGATCTCCTTTGTGTCTTAATTGCACTAATGATCTCATCACAACTAATTCTTTTACTGATGACTGAAATAAAGCGCTAGATTTTTTGTTGTCGTTTGTCATCTGGTTTTAGTGTTTCCTCCTCTTTTGGTAGCAGAAACTTCTGGATTTTCCTCTTGCTGTTACAGGATTCTTTCCTGGTACTGTGACATTCCCAGGTAGCACTCAGTTTTCAATTTGGCATTTCTCCTTTCAGTCCTTCGTGTTGCTGCCCTGCTTTCCCTTGGTTTCTACTCTCTTTGTGATTCCTTGAGTTTCCAGTGAGAGGAAAAAGTCATGATATAGCCGTGTTTGTCTCTTACTCCACTTCTTTCTGGCACATCTGGTCTTAATCTGTTTCTTGGAGAAATTGCCAGCACTCCTGAGCTTCCTTCCCCCCACCCCTTTAGTCTTGCTTTGCATGGGAACTTATTTATCCACTTTTGGAACGTAGTGAAGTCTGTTTTCTTGAAGGTCACCATTTCTCCATGCCTCCTCTTCTTGTTCTGAGGAGTGGCATGCTCTGTGCTGCCAGCCACTTTTCTTTATGCTATCTCCAGCTCTGTATAAAAGCCTCCTGTTACTGTGTTTTCTACCTGTTTATAAAGCTGTTGCCACCACATTCCCAAACATTGCCTGACATTATTTGCCTGCTGGCGCCTTTCCCAAGAAGTGCCTTGGCCCTCTAAGATCCTACATTTCTAGGAAGTCGTAGGCTTTTTATTGTTTGTTAGTGTCGTCTTCATGACTCCTCAGGATCTTTTCCACTACTGATATTAACAAGAGACTTTTTTTATTGTGTCCTGTTTCCTAGAAACAACTGGTTCATCTTCATGGTGTGTTTTTGGCGGCTGTTAGGGCCACTCTTCTGCTTATGTACTTTACTATGTTTCTGTAACTCCTATGAATTCTCTGTCAAATATCTGTGAATGCAGTCGAAGTATGAGAGCAGAAAGCAGTCTAGTACCTAAACTTTTTATACTTGAGGGAAAATATATTCCTAACTAATAATTTGCCTTGTTTTACTTATCAAAGTCTTTGCTAAATTATCCTAAAACTTGCAGCTTTTGTGCTGTAACCTAGCACTGAGCCCATCATTTCCCAGCTTCTCTAGGATGAAGAAGCTATAGGTTCAGGCTGCCTCAGCCAAAATAATGGAAAATGGAGAAACCTCTGCTTGATTAACACTCTTAATTAATAGCCAAGGAAACACTAGACTAGTGCAGCGGAAATTTCTGCTTTGTAATTCTGATGTGAGAGGGGAAAGTACCAGATAGCCTGATCAATGTTACTTCAGTGGATTGAAGGTAATTATGGCTGGATACCATTCATGGACACAACCTTTATATACTGCAGTATCAACAACTTCCCTGTACTCTTATAAACTCTTGTCTATAGAGTTCAATTTCACTGTTGTGTATCATTTTGAAGTCTCATTGGTGTTTGAATTTCTGTTTCCATGTATTGACATGTTCTGCAACTAAAAAGGATTCTAAACCACAATAACTTCATCTTTTCCAGCATCTCCTTCAAATGCTGTTGTTTACCCCATTTTCAGTGTACCCCCTGCCAGCAAGAAAAGGTAGGCTTACCTTTGCTAAGTCTCTCCAAGAATGAGCAGAAGTGTCATATCTGCAGAATCGTGTTTGGTTTTTTTTTTTTTTTTTTTAATTATAGTAATTATAAAAACAATAGCTTAGCTTTCTCCTAATCCTTGTAAGGTTTGGGAGCCTGGGGTTTTTACTGGGTTGGCTTTTTTTTTTTCCTTTTAAAGGGAAGATGAAAGATGAAAGTTGTGTTGGTTTAGGGGCATACTAGCCTGTGAATAAGGAAATACACATTTGCTTACTGTCTGTAATACATTTTACTTGTGAGGTTGTACATATTTAGCTGATTTTTTTTTTTTTTAACAAAAAAGGAAATAATAGTTTTCTCTTAGCTGTTGCTAATGATAAAATCATTAGAACAAGGGGGACTGTTTCAGGATATATTCATCACCAAGAATGCCATAGCCTTGGTGGTGTTTGGGCCCTGTAGAGGGGTTTTTATTTATACTACTTCTGTAGTGTTCTATATCTCCCTATCTGGAGTGTCCACAATGAGCAGTAACTTTCAGTCCTTATGTACTGGCCGTTAATTAGGGACCTGCACCTCTCATCAGCCAGACACCCTCGACAGCACTAACTACAAATTTGAGTAGGTACCAGAGTTGTCAAAACAAATTGGCTCTGGCATGTGCATTCTTGCCACATTTGAAGAAATTCTGTGTTACAAGCAACCTTTTGAGCTAAGTTTGTGTACATCAGCTACAGCATGTGAAAATTCGACTCTATGTTTAACTGGGCCAGTTAACTCGTTGATTTACTCATTGAGTAATGCTGGAAAGGCTGATAGGGCGGGTCAGTAACTCTGCTCAGGCCAGTCTGTGGCTCTTGCAGGAACTGGCAGCTTCTCTGTTTCTGTCACAGTCGACCTCCTTTACCAGTTAAGCCTACAGTATTAATTTTTAAACTGTTGAAATGACTCACTCTTGGGGAAGGCACTGGCTTATTGGAGTTGTACAGAGCTAAAGATTTCAGAAGGCTTGTTATTGTGGAATACCCATGTTCTTTAAATTTAGTGTCAAACTGAACTTTCTCTGCCATAAGGTTCATTGCTTTTCAATAGTAACTTTTCCTGTGATATGTTTTTGTAAATATCACAGTGCCATGGCTAACGCTGACCAACATCTTCACTGTTAGCACTTGGGGAAGTATTTGTGTGCTATACAGAAATCACCTGAAGTGCAAAGACCATTAACTGCACTGGTCAGGTGTGTTTTGTATTGCACTTTTTTTTTTAACCTGAGAAATTTTAGTACAGCCAGCACTAGGTAGGAGCACACTCAGAATTTTTGATCTAGATGCCAAAGAAAAGGCAGAGGTTGTAATAAAAATGGGTGAAAAGGATTAATAGAAGCACTTGCTTCTCTTCCACTTTCCCATGTTCACCTGAGTGGGTGTTTCTTAAGTTTGCTGGGCGATGTTTGCGTCCTGGTTTTGGCTGGGACAGAGTTAATTTTCTTCCTAGTAGCTGGTACAGTGTGTTTTGGATTTAGTGGGAGCATAATGTTGATAACACACTGATGTTTTTAGTTGTTGCTAAGTAGTGCATAACTTAAGTTAAAGATTTTTCATTTTCCCATGCTCTGCCAGCAAGCAGGTGTACAAGAAGCTGAGAGGGAGCACAGCCAGGACAGCTGACCCAAACTAGCCAAAGGGACATTCCATACCATAGGACATCATGTTCAGTATATAAACTGTGGGGACTTGGCCGGGAGGGGCAGATCACTGCTTGGGCATTGGTCAGCGTGTGGTCAGCAATTGCACTGTGCATCACTTGTCTTTACTTGGGTCTAATTTCTCTCTTTTTGTTATATTACTTTTAATTATTACTATTTTTTTTATTATTGTTGTTGTTAGTATTATATCTTATTTTACTTTAGTTATTAAATCTTTCTTCTCTCAACCCACAAGTTACTTTTCTTTTTTTGATTCTCCTTCCCATCCCACTGCAGAGTGAGCGAGCGGCTGTGTGGCGCCTAGTTGCTGGCTGGGGTTAAACCACAACAGTTTGCTATTTACTGTGATGGAAATGAAGCACAAGCATGTGAAGTTTGCTTTTTGATTCTGTAAAAAGCATGATATTGCTAAATTACTTGTAGGCACTGGGACTTTTTACTCATAAGGTGTGATTATACTACCTGGTGTCTGTGCTTCTGACTAGCTTATTTCTTCATTAATTTGCTGTTGTACTCGTAGACCTCTAGTGGAAAAAGACTTTTTTTCTCACACAAGAACCAGAGTTATTAATGCCTCTCTCATATTGAATCAACTTGTTGATACATTTTGTTAACAATGAAAGCATTCTGAGATGAGTTTATTGTGAATATAAAAAAAACCCACTTAAAGTTGCTCCTATAAGAGCCAAAATAAGCTTTCTAAAACTTGTTGCGCTACTGTAGTCTTCTGCCACAGAAGTGTTGAAAGAGAGATCTGATTGCAATATTTGCTTTGCTTCCTCATGTGGCTTTTCAAATACCTTCCATGGTGCAAGTGGAACCGTGGAATATGTGGAAATCCTGGTGTTTGTGATTAACTGAAAATCAGTCTTGGATTTGCAGTTGTCTCCTGGGAAGCTGATGAGCACAAGCTTTTCCTACATGAAATCTCTGCTTTGGAAATTCTCCTTAGTATCCAAATCTATAAAATTGTTTGGTGTATCTCTAAATTAGTTCCATATTAAGGTTCACTGCACAATAGTTAAAATTTCCCATTTGAAGATTGCTTAAGAAATGCCACCTTACATGCAGAAGTCTAAAGGTAGGTTAGAAAACCTGTGCAATTATTAACACCCCTAACAATGTGCTTCTCTGTAGCTGAAGCCCACATTGTAACCTAAGAATTCATATAAAGCCTCCATGTCTGGATCTGAATATGAAAAATTCCTCTTGGCCTTGCTTCGGTCCGCTCCCCTTCGGGAGCATGTCCTGGCTAGATGGCAGAGGAGAGCTTAGCCTGAGCACCAAGGGTTTTTCCTGATATGCTGCTGATCCCCTGGTCTAAAGGTGGTGTTGGCGTGAGGAGCTGGGACTTGTGGTGGTGAAGCAGGAGCTGAGTGGGGAAGCAGTCTGGGGACCCCAGGGGTAGACAGAGTGTGGGCTTGAGACCAAACTATGGTGATTCTTGGCCAAAGCCTTGTCACATGTTCTTGTACACCGTGATTGAAACCTAGATGAAATGCTTCTTAGGTTATTGGAGTTCACTTTTTCACTTTCTTCCCTTTTTTACCCTTGAGGGGAGAGTGGTGTTGATGTGGTGTGCACTCTATATTCAGCTTTCCTCACAAAATTGGGAACACTTGAAGCTTTGTAAGATGACTTCAGACAATGCTACTTCCCCTGCTGAGTCTGGCAGGGTAGGACCCTTATCCTTGCCTCGTATCACACTGTCCAGGAGTCTGGCACAGATTCCTGAGCTGCTCAGACCAAGCTGAGGTACTGTGGGTTGCAGTGCGGTCATGCAGCGAGGCACATGCTCACATTTCCAGGTATTCATAGCCACATCTCCCTGTGTTCGTCTTCCCGAGCCCTTTGATGATTGCAGCCATAGCAACACCTATTTCCTCACCCGCAGTTTCCATACTTCACAGACCTGGCCCCCTGCTGCTCAGTTTGTTGTGTATCCCTTCAACTGTTCAAGGAGCTGCTGAATTTCCAATATCCTGGAAAGGGATGGCTGTGGAAGTGAGAGAGGTGCTTAATCAAGAGTTATTTAACTTCTGATACAATTTTGGGGCACTTCCTAGAGCCCCTGTCCTTCCCTCCCTCTCCCGGGGAGCTGGCACCACAGCTGTCAAGAAGCTATGCTGTACCTGGCTTAGTTTGGGGTGTTCTGTAATAAGAGTTGCTACCCTGCCCTGGTACCCAACATGTAATGTTAACCTTTGTCTGCAGTGACTAATTTTCATCTCTGAAATTATTTTCAGGATGCAGGCTACGCTGGATGAACTGACTGCTCTGTTTGGGTCCAGCCCACCTGTAAAAACATCTCACACCTCGCAGAAAAGCAAGAAGGCAAAAGAGCTCTGCAAGCGCTCCAGAGATCAGATGATCATTGTAAGGTTCCCCTCGGGGTGACATGGTGGTGAGGAAACAAGAAATATATCTTGAGTCTAACAGATAAGTAGACTTCCTCACGTGTAAACCAACCACACTGTGATGACAGTAACACGGTAGTAATTAACATATTTAGCACTTTAGGACAGGGTAGTAGCTGGGAAATACATTGTTATGGTTTCCCTGGGACTAACACTTTATTACATTTTGGAATTCAAAAGAGGTTTATGTAACATAATATTTAAAACAAAACAAAAAAAGCCAAAGAGGAACTCGGCCAAGCCTGTATAGATGCTATAGGAGTGGATTTGGCTGGATAATTTTCCTTTCCCACGGCTTCCTGGCCCGCTGTGCGAACAGAGTCAGCACAGCACTGCAACCACAGCGGCAAACGTCAGCCAGGGCAGCACAGGAGCAGGAATGTGCAAGTGAGAGCTGAGCCTGAACGGAGCTCGCTCTGTTAACGAGTGGGTGCCTCTTTGGTAGCTCCATGTCTGCCTTCCTGCTGCTGCCCTTCGGTGTGGAGTACTGATTTTGGAGCAGCAGGAGGCCAAACAGTGTTATTGAGACTCGCGTGTCATCTAGCTATCGCACGTATGGGTTTCCAGAAAATACGCCCTCAGCGATGAGTAATTTTTTTAGTAAACCATTTGTTCTCACTTGGTGACATGCAGACATTTTCAAGCCTGTTTCCTGAGGGAACAGGGCTTATGTGATCATTCTTGTCTGCTGATCTGCCTTTTCTAGCACCTTTTGAGTCATTTGGATGGTTTCTGTCAAATTTGAGACCTCACAGATACAAAGTTTTGAGTGTTTTGAAAACTGGTCCCCGTGGAAGGGAGAAACCCAGATGAATGCCTGTGCTGAGAGGAAAGCAGCAGCTGTATTCAGCAGTCATCGCTACCCTGAACATGGCTGGCTGGCTGGCCAGCCACAAGCTTCAAGCCTGCCTGGCATGCCTCAGCTGCGTGTCGAACTGCTGGGCCCACAAGGGACAGACTGTGGGTGCTGTGACATGGGGAGGAAGCCCGAACTGGGATGTGGGGAAGGGAAAACAGCTGCTGCAGTATCAGCCAGTGCAGAGAAGTAAGATGAGTCCTTAACAAACCACACTTCACTTCACCTCAGTACTTAAAGAGCAATCTGCTGTTTGCTTGCACAACTGGCATTCAGTTCCTTTTCTTCCCCTCCCTGTGTACTGACAGAGATAAAAATGAAGTTATTTTTAGATAACTGATGAAAACACAGTACAGAGTTTTCCTTCGATTTTTTTGTTGTGCTCTTTTACATTGTTTTCTCAGTGAGGATGTTGCTGAACTATTTCGAGACTTGTTCCAAATAATGCGTTGATTGCGTTCCCTGGATAATTTGATGCTATAGAGTTCTGAATATTCTGCAAATAAGCAAAAGCCTGTCCTCCTCTCCACAGATTCAAATGAAAACAAATACTTGAATCTTTGATGATTGTTACTAGAACTAATTCTCAACCTCATTCTTTAAACTGAACGTGGTTTTGAACAGCTTCAGAATGCTTAGCTGGCTCTGTTTTTCACTAGGATGCTGGTCAGAAGCATTTTGGTGCCATAGTTTGCAAGTCGTGCAGCATGATCTACACGGCTGCTAGCCCGGAGGATGAAGCACAGCACATCCAGCACCACGAGAGATTCCTTGAGGGACTCAGATATGTGGTAAGGTGATGGCTGTGCTCGCAGCTCAGCTGAAGAACACAGGGGGAAGTGGTGTGTGATAGCCAGGTACAAAGTCAAGACAGCTGCAGGCAAATGTTTTGTCATCCAGAGGGGAGGTTAAAGTGTAAGTTAAGCAGTTCCAGCAACTGTCTGCCTTCATCAGTTTGATGAATATGACTTTACTTTATTCCTGAAAGCTGGAGTGGTTCAGATTACAGCTTCATCTGCCAGAGTCTGCACTGAATCACTTCCTCTCTTTTGCTAGACCACTAACTTGTTTGTTTTTTGGTTGTTTTTTTTTTCCTCCCTCTGTGGCAGGGTTGGAAGAAAGAACGGGTTGTGGCAGAGTTCTGGGATGGGAAAATTGTATTGATTCTTCCAGATGACCCAAAATATGCGGTCAAGAAGGTACATGTTTGTTTATTTTGGGGTTTATGTTGTAGATTAGCTTTCTGCTGGCTCAGCTCCTGGAACTACCTCAGTGTGTGATCATACATTGCTTGACAGTGCACAGGGTGAACAGGAGAGCTGAACAGGGTTGCAGCAGCAATCTAGGTTGCTGTAGACACCCACCCTGACACATCCTAACCCTGTTCCCTGTGCTGAAGCTCTTGTTCTTACAACGCCAGCATAACTTGATCCTTTCAGGCCCAAGGACTGGCTTGAGAGGCAGGTGCGCTGAGCAAGAGGTGTAGAGGGATGAAGATACAAGTGAGAGCCTGTTCTTTAACATTCTCTACACAGTTAGAGCCTGATCTTGTGTAAGCACAGGCTTATTTGGGGGAACGAGTCCCCTTTCTGACAGGTTTCACGCCAGAGTCAAAGAATGTGCGCATTGGTTCCCTAACACACCTCTCTGTTTTTGTTTTCTTAGGCAGAAGATGTGCGAGAAATTGTAGATAATGAATTGGGATTTAAGCAAGTTTCTTTGAGCTGCCCAGCCAAGACTAAAGTATACTTGTTTGTGTCCAACGAGAAGATGATTGTTGGGTGCTTAGTGGCTGAATCAATCAAGCAGGTATGTGTTATTAATGTATGGGGAGAGGCTGAAACTGCAGGCTAATCACTGGGGCTGTTTGCCTAAGCCTGTGTATTGGAAATCCTGGCTTAGGACAGGAGGAGGGAAAATAAAACTAAGGAAATAAAAAACCCAACTAAACAAAAAAACCCCACAACAACAACAAAAAAAAGAAATTAAGGAAAAGCTTGTGCTTTTGTCAGGTTGAGACGTTGCTGGCAGGAGTTAGCCAAGTTTGCATGGCCGATACTGCAGCGAGCTTGCATCTGACCCTGGTTTGGGTTCTGGTTTACCTTGCTGAGTAGTGGTCTGACTTGTAAGAGAGCAGAAGGCAAGGCTGGGAGCACAGGAAGGTCTGTGGCTCTGCGTCCTGTTGGGAAGGACCAGTTTGATGCCTCTGCTTGTCCCTGCAGGCTTTCCGGGTGCTGTCTGAGCCAGGAGCTGTGCCATCCTCTGGCCAGGACGCCCTGCAGCACCACCGGGCTTGGCGCTGCTCCACAGAGCCAGAGCCTGCCATCTGCGGCATCAGCAGGATCTGGGTGTTCGGCCCAAAGCGCAGGAAGGGAATCGCCTGTCACATGGTGGACACGGTCAGGTAGGGAGAGGTGGTGGGAGGGCAGCGGGGAGCTGGGATTTATCCGTGGGGGGGAAACGATGATTGCAGCAAAAAGTGTTTAGAAGGAACTTAGGGAAATGGATAAACTTGTATTGTTAAGCAAGTCTGGAATCCCCACTTCATAGTGGAAGGATATCAAATGGACAGATATTACATTATATCTAATATTAAAGTAATATTTTTATTTCAAATCTGACACAAGTGTGGGCCACGCTGTTAACTACTGGGTATAACCAGAACACAGAGCTACATGGACTGGATTTTCAAAGAGAAGCTGTGCTTGTTGGGAAAATTTTTATTTTTTATTTTTTTTTTCTGGTCAAGTTGATGGGCCCAAACACTTGAGTTTTTCCAGGCAGGAAATTCTGAGCTTTTCAAGCTCAGGCAAAACTGGGAGGAAGAGTTAAAAACTTCCCTTCATCTATTAATATGGACTGCCTTGAGGGAGAGCTTGGCAGTCCATGAGCCTGTAGTAGCACATATCTTCTTTGTGTCATATCTGCTCACTATGTGTATATAAAATACAGACATATAAAGTATATGAGTACATATGTGTATAATTTTTTATATTTATAATCATTCATTATTGTATCTGGAGCTCAGTATTCTGTAAATTCATCAGCCGATGTTTGGTCTCTGCTTCCTCCCATGGTTAGGGTTTGATGTGCTACCTCAATGACACCTTCCAAACCTACAGGCCGTGTGAGCCAGCTGGACCTGGGTGACCTGTGGGTGCCCAAGAGAGTCCTGGCACTGCTGTGGTGGACTTCACTCGGGAACTGTTGCAAGATATTTAACTGAAATCTCTGGGTTTCCATGTAAAACTGTGCGTGTGGGTTTTCTACCTGTATGCAGTCTTACATTATCCTTCTTGCTAATTTTAAAATGCCTCCTGATTACGCCAGAATCTGAGAAGGCAAACTGGCATCTTGCAACAATATTCTCTGGTTTGAAAGCAAAGTGACAGAAGAAATAACAGCTCCCTCCAGAAAGAGGAAAACACCCCTGCGGTGTGTTTTAGGAGTCTGATAAAGCAGCTGGCTGGTTGCAGCGCACCGAAACCTCTGCTTTCTCTTTCAGGAGCACATTCATGTACGGCTGCTACCTGAGCACTAACGAAATCGCCTTCTCCGACCCGACACCAGACGGCAAGTTGTTTGCAACAAAGTACTGCCAAACCCCTAACTTCCTTGTTTACAATTTTATTTATAACAACTGATTCGACTTGGTTATTGCAAGTTGAGGTTTGTTAAAATCATCTAAGATAATCTGTGTGTTTAAAATAACACTTAAGTGTTGTTACCTGCCTAAAAGCTGTTTTCCTGCTGAGTGCTTGTTCTTCCTCCCCTTGTGAGCAAGCTGGGGGAGAGTGTGTCACTTTGTGTACAGAGTTGTGTTGTATTTTAGTGTGTGCTGTGAAACCTTGCTTGGATTTTGGGTAGGGGTTTCTTCTGAAACTAAATTTTATTGCGAGTAACTTAATTTCTTTAAAAGGTTTAATTAATATAAATATGGCTAATTTCTACCTGTGTAGTTATGTAATTCTGAGCTCTGCAGTTTGTGCACTGTAAAGGGCTTGTCTGGGGTAGAAGCCTTAGTACAAGCAGTTACTAAATTTATGCACAGAGGAGTAGGAAATGTCTTAAAACAACTGACTTGTGGCAGGACTTCTCCCAGTGTGTAAGACCTGGAACCCTCACAGTGTTGTGCTGCAGGGTAAGCTGTCACGGGAGCTGCCTTCTCAATAAAATGTGTGAAATGCTGCTCGAGCTTGTTTCTGTGCACAGAAGAGGTGTGGGAATGCTTCCAACACTCTCCTAATTGAGGAGTTCAGAGAAGGCAGCAGTGGCTGAAACAGAAGCTGAGGGCTGCGTGGGGGAGCAGGACAAGTATATGTGTTGTAACCTCTTTGTCTCCAACCAGCTGAAGGCAGGCATTTCCCCTAACAGCAGGCTTTCCTTTAACAAATCCCCAAGAGACTGTTTTTTCTTTCTTGACCCTAGACCCTTTTCTACCATGGTATGATTCTGTGTAACAAGCTGTTGTGTCAGGAAACCTTTTCCTTGAGCTTGCAGCTGCTTTCCCTCAGTAATGTTCTTCTGTTAGCTGGGACTGTGCCCTGACCACCTCAGGAACACAAGTACTTTACAGGAGAGCCCTCACCAATGCTTGCACATACCCAGCAGACACACATGCTCCTTAGGAGGAAAAACCCACCACTTTCACATTGAGATTAAGAAAAAAAAAATGTATTTTTGATATCTCAGTCACAAAACTGTTGTTAATTCAACACAAAGAGAGAGGGAAGGGTTTTAAAACAGCTGTAATGTGACAACTAAAAGCAAAACTGTTGCACAGAGCATGTAGCTTATTTAGGAAAAAGTGCAGGTGCAAGGGGATTGCTCTAGAAGCAGAGCAAGCCCCAGTCACCTCAGGCATGTCCTTAAACCAGGGGTTAGAGTTTAATGAGTTTAGGCTCTGGTTTTTAAGTACACAGAGCAGCCTTCACATCCTAGAAGGCTAAATGCTGCAGGAGCAGCCTTACTCTTCTAAGTTCAATCCCTCAGCTCCTGCACCCACAGCACAGGTATGGGAGCTTGGATGCTTTTACTCCTGGGGCAGACTTGCCTCCAGTACTTCCACGATGCACGCAGCTGAGGGACGCTTCTTGGGGTCCTCACTGGTGCAGACAGAAAAGAGGTCGATCATGTGCTGGTAGGATGAGTCCAGTTCCTCCATGTTGAGGGCTGGGCGGGTTCCCAGGGCTGCATAATATGCTTCCTCATCGAAGCAGTCTTCATCAAAAGATTCATCTGCACAAGAAAGTGGCAAAGGTGTTGGGAAGGGTGCTGGAAACCGCGCTGCTCCCTTGGGTCATGGGGCTTCGCTCCCTGGCTGCCCCTCATGCATCACAGGATGGTTTGGGTGGGAAGGGACATTTCAAGTTCATCTAGTTGTCCCCCTGCCATGAGCAGGAACATCTTCAACTAGACCAGGTTGCTCAGAGCCCCTTTCCTCGTAGCAGAGGTGTTCCAACCCTCAGATCATCTTTGTGTCCCTCCTCTGGACCCACTCCAACAGGTCCATGTCTCTCCTGTGCTGAGGACCCCAGAGCTGGACGCAGGACTCCAGGTGGGGTCTCACCTGATCAGAGCAGAGGGGCAGAATCCCCTCCCTCGACCTGCTGGCCACACTGCTTGGGATACAGCCCAGGACACGGTTGGCTTTCTGGGCTGCAAGAAAGCTGTCACGTCCAGCTTTCATCCACCAGTACCCCCAAGTCCTGCCTTGCAGGGCTGTGGTGGGCTGTAACCTTCATCTCAGCTTCGCTATTCCTTTGTTATCCCTAATTACTGCCTAGGATACATCATTACTTTGACTTAAATCACTTATTTTGAAGCTCTATCTACCCCCTTTCTCCTAGGAGAATAACTGAGTCACCCCTGCAGAGCTGGCTGGGAAAAAGCTCTGCAGCCAGGAGACACTGAGAGCAGGAGAGTGAGGAAAAATCCCCTGGCTGCCTAGAGACCAAGTCAGAAAACACAAGCCAGCCTGCGGGTCCGTGCCAGCGCAAAGGCTGAAGCAAGAGTTTTTCCAGCACAGCCCATAGGATTCTTAGCTTTGTATCACTCCAGGGCACAGATCTGCCTGCAGGCAGCTCTTAGCAGCCCCTGCCCATCCCATCCACTCCCTGCCTTGGCTGCTCCATGTAACTCTGAACGACAGGGTGGCCAAGAAGGCCAACAGCATCCTGTCTTGTATCAGAAATAGTGTGGCCAGCAGGAGCAGGGAAGTGATTGTTCCCCCATACTCAGCACTTGTGAGGCCGCACCTTGAATACTGTGTTCAGTTTTGGGCCCCTCATTGCAAGAAAGATGAGGTGCTGGAGCATGTCCAGAGAAGGGCAACAAAGCTGGTGAAGGGTCTAGAGCTTATGAGGAGCGGCTGAGGAACTGGGGTTGTTAACCTGGAGAAAAGGAGGCTGAGGGGACACCTTATTGCTCTCTACAACTACCTGAAAGGAGGTTGTAGCCAGGTGGGGGCCAGTCTCTTCTCCCAGATAACAAAAGGACAAAAGGAAACAGCCTCAAGTTGCACCAGGAGATGTTTAGATTGGATATTAGGAAAAATTTCTTCACTGAAAGGGTTGTCAAGCACTGGAACAGGCTGCCCAGGGAAGGGGTTGAGTCACCATCCCTGGGGATATTTAAAAGATGTGTAGACATGGTGCATAGGGATATGGTTTAGTGGTGGACTTGGCAGTGCTAGGTTAATGGTTGGACTTAATCTTAAGGGTCCTTTCCAACCTAAATGATTCTGTGATTCTGTGACAAATCCCTGCTTCCTCTGTGCTTTGTCAGAGATGAGCAGGTGTTTGGCAGCTTGGGTACAGCCCTGAGCACCCTTAACCTGGGCACAGCACACTTTCTTTAGCTTCCCTTTTCCAAAAAGGCTCAGCTGCCTCAAATATTTTTGTGCGCCATTTCAAGCACAATGTCATTTTAAGCTTTTCTGGCCGCATCATTTTGGTGGTATCTCAACAGCATCCACCACACAGCTACAGCCTGACAGATTGCTCCTACACTGCTGTGACAGCAGAGGACGTGGGATGGAGCCGGAGGACAGCCGAGCACACTGCAGGGCTGTTGGGGACATATTTCAAGCCTACCGAACTGCACTGACGGGCATCTGATGAGCAGCCGAATTTCAAAGAGCTCTATCCAGCTGTTAGACAAACAGCTGGAGCACTTAAAGAGCACTGGTTTGCAATGATTAGTTACCATCATTTATCAACTTCTTATGGTGGAGTTAAGCCAAACGAAGCTGAAAGCAGCCCAGGCCCCTGCACAAACACTGAAGGAAGCCGGCAAGCACCCGCTGCAGAGCAGCCTTGGGGTAGTGCTGAGCACCTTGGTGCTGCAGCAAACTCCCCACTGAACTCCCTGTGAAGAGAGGCAGGGCTGGGAGACGCAGCAGGCACAGACACACGCTTGCAAGCCCTTTGGATGGCATCTCTGGGAGACCCAGCATTTTGGGGGTACTAACACATGCTGCAGATATCAATCCTACTAAGAGAGGAAAGCATTTCTAGGAGCAGAAGTTGCTCACCAGCAAGGTATAGAAACAAACCTTCGTCATCAGGGTCATCATCCAGGTTGAGGTGGGGCACGGAGAGGGTCATCATTTCCCAGAGAGTCAGCCCAAAAGGGAAGATGTCAGCCTTGTCGGTGATCACACCGTCATCCTGCAGGGCTTCCTTGGGCTTCCAGGGCTCAGTGCCGATGTAGTACATCTCTGGGTCACTCACTGGAAGGAAACACCACAGCTTGGGTCTCTGCTGGGACTTGAGACACTAAGACACAGTCACAGCTCGCCACACAGCAGGATCTTTTAGGGGCCTGAACCTATTTTTCATTCATATCTGTGTAGTCTCAAAGCCCCTGTAACCTGCGGCTTGCTCTGCAGCAGTGCCAGACCCACGGGGGCTCATGCTTCTCCACAGGCCTGGCAATGTGCGTTGGGGACTGCGGAAAAACCTCCGTGAGGAGATTTCACAGTGGAGCGTCCAAGGCCATGCAGAGCGTGGACAGAAGGCCAGAGCTGTGCTCTGTAGCTTAATCCTGCTGTAAGACACTCCACAATGAAGAAGTGAGAAATTACCTGTGTTTTACCCAGGTTTCTCCCTTCCTCAGCTTGGCCCCTGCTGGGGAAGCAGAACAGATGTGACAGCAGTCACAGGGCACCTGGCCTAGATAACACCAGGGGACAAAGCTAACCCAACCCTGGTCCTCACAAGGCTCTGCCAGCCTCCACCACACAGTGCCTCCCGCCAGCCATGCAGTCCTCCTGCTTTCTTTACTCCAGCCCAAACCAAGTTCTCACCACTTTGTTCAATTTAATGCCTCCTTGATCTTAATTAGCCTTGGGAGAGTTGAAATGATCAGCTCTCAGCCCAACGAAGGAAAAACCAGCTCTGACTTGATCCCTTATATCCCTCTCTCAATTACAGGCCCCACTCCCAAGAGAAGAGTGCCACATTTCCACCCCGCTCTCCCTAGCAAATTCCCGAGCTGTCAGCAAATCTCAACTGTTCAAGAAACTTTTCTCTTGGAGGGCTGATCTTCAAAGCCTGGCCTGTAACAAGAAGCGAATGCCAAAATCCCTCGACACTTCACGGGTTGTTGTGCTTTAATCCTTGGCTACCACACAGACAGGGAC